GCCAAGATATGATTCTATTTTTAGCAAAAACTAAGAAAAAAACGACCTATAAAAAACATGTGATAGGTCAATCAATGTATGGAAAGTGGCCATGATCCTTTGATACATTTTGTATATACAATACTATATTGATATTTATCTTATAGAAAAATTCGTCAGTCCTAGCCTAGGTACAATCTTAGTATTTTTGAATTATATACTCGTATATTATGACTTTCTATATGGTGATATATAAGAAGCAATGAATTTAAAATTTCATTGAAACGGCATTTAAAATTTGCGATAAAGTAATAGGTATTAGGTATGCTTCAATCAGACTTTATTCACTTAAACTAACCCGCATTTGATTAATTACGGAAAAGAGTAATTTAGAACGTAATGCCCTCAATACTTGTTTCTATTCGGCCCGATTAGTGGGCTATATTGGGAATGTTGTCAATGCCATTACGCTAATCCCCTGATGGGCTTTCAGCTAACGAGGTTGGGCCACGGTCATCCAAGGCCACTCACTACCATGGTCCACCAGAATATTGTGATAAAACAACCAAGAAGATTTTTCTACCCATTTAATTTATAATAAATGTTGATGGTTCTTAATTAAAAATTTATAAATCTCAAGAAATATATACCTGTTCTTTAATCACTTTATTTTTATTAAATTCCTATTTATTTAAGTCAATATATATAATAGTTACAAGCAAAATATTTAATTCCGTTAAAACTTAGTATTAAGAAGTTAAGATATCTTTATATTATCCTTAGTACTAAATTTTTTGGAAGTCTATGGTTTTAAAAAACAACATGGCTTAGAGTATATATAGACTGCTTATATCTTTTGTTATTATTCTAAGCCTCATATAAACTCTTAGCAAGATGGCGATCGTAAATGTTAATTGCATTTCCCGCCAAAACAAACGTCATCACCTCAAGCCGAAAGCGTATCTGAACAACAATATTAGCTTGAAATGCATTTTACGGTTTCTTTTGAAGAAATCATCATTAGTCTAGCTCAAAGAAGAGAAGAACAAATCACTTCTTACCGCTACTTACACTGTAATAACTAAAATTCAGCTTTTCTATCGGTAAGGTAAAAAATTAAAATTAAAATTGAAATTGGTTAAAATTAATAAGAAAACTAGGATCTACGGCAGCAAATCTATTTCCAAATCAAAATCTACGGCAATCTTTGCCAAGTCAAGGAATAAAAAAAGGATGTTTTTAATTACGTGGAAAGGGTTATTCCTATTTTCATAACTCAGCATTAGACCCTATCGAAGCATCGGCTGTCCGAGAGACTATTGAATGGTGATGTCACCACAATCCTTGGGATATGGCTTGTGACGTCATTGGGGTGATCTTTAATAGCGGGCGGGGACAATACTAAACCATTGGCGCGGCGGTGGTTAGAATGACAGACGTGTTGACACAATTTAGATGAGAAAAAATTATCAAGCAATTTCTGTATAAGATACATACTTTTTAAACGATTTCAAAAAAGGAGTAGAGCAGCAATGAAAAATGTTGCAAAAACGAGAAAAACTAACGGGCGAATACTTCATATACGAGAAATACTTCTCACTTAGATGAATATTTATTAGTCATTACCAAGTTTTCACATTTAATTAACCCTCATCAGGTTAATCTATTCTCATTTTTTTAAATCAGCATTGAAGCTCGATCAAGGTATCGGGTATGAGAGAGGTATATTGAAAATATATAGCTTTAGATAAACATCTATAAATAATACACTATTAATTGCTATTTTCCAGTTTTTATGAAGCACTGAATTCATTATCAGATATATTAAATATAAAAAACCTAGGTATTTGAGTTCGCGATTACCTATAGTAACCCGTTTGTCTCTAATAATATCTTGTCTTTTCTCTTTATAATCTGACTGCAAAATTGATAATCTTAAAATATTTACAAGTCAGTCACAGTTGCCCTAGACGGGGTAGCACATTACGCCATCGCCATCTGAGTCACTGATCCAACCAATTGATCTACCCAAGACTGTGCTGACACCAACGGGACTGGCAAATTAAAGAAGAAGTTCTATATTTCTTGGTTAAAATGATTTTTAAAAAGTTATTGTCGTCTGTCGTGTCAGTTTGTCACATGATTGCATATTTTCTTAATTAATGGTTCATACGAATTTGAGTCGTTCGTTTAACGAGTTTTTCCAACAATATGCTAGGTTTTATCGCCGACATTGTAATTAATTTCAGTATTATTTCACATTTTTCCTTTGAAGTGTTAACGTGTTTCTTTTTCTGAGCAATTGTTATAACAACGATGATAGAAACGTCTGAATGTCTTAGATCCATTTGTTTTCGCTTTTAGACGCGATGGGTTGCAGTCTGTGTGTCCAGGAAGCATCAACAACACTTTAAATCCCAGAAAAGTATTTGCAACTTACGTATACTCTAAATTTAACTAAATATCTGGGTAGACTTTTTGTTTTCAGTGATCGGAACATGCTGTGGTAACAGGGATGCATAAATGTGGTAGTCAACTAAATAAAATAAACATTTTGTCGTATGGCTATTTCACACCAAGTTTACAAAACTTAAACTTGGCTCACATTGACAATTAAAAAGCTTCACGTCCGTTGCGACACTAGTTTCCTCTTGTTTAGAATAGTTCGTGAAAGGTATTTTTTTTAATTTATTTATGTATTACTCAATCTTGCACCAGCTTACAGAATACTCAATTACACTGACTCATTATGCATTTATTTATTTATTGAACTTTATTGACCAATAAAGATGGTACAAAAGGCGGACTTAATGCTAATAGCATTCTCTGCCAGTCAACCTTTGGGAAACAGACAAACGCGATGGCGGTACAGAGCAATAAAAATAAAAATAAAATTTATCATGGGAATTTCAATTTTTACAAGTCCAAAAAAGTAATTGTACTAAATTTGAATTAAATCAGATGTTCAATTAATTATAAAAATGATAACTACTTTACAAAATAATAAATAATTTATGTCAAATTATGAGTTAATAATGAAAATGACAATTTATAAAAATAACATGATTTTAAAGTACGTAGTAGATAAATGTCTAATAATAGTGTAAATCAATAATTATCAAGGATTACTTAATTTGTAAAGAATCTAGGATCTGTCTAGCGAATGAAATCGTCCCATCCCATCAGTGAACTAATCTAAATCCTTGTGTTGAGGTAGGTGTTTATGATCATTGATGAGTCATAATCGAAATATGTTTTAGCCAGACAATTTAGGTGTAATTTCTTAACCTACCTACGAGTATTTCGGATAAATTAAATTTTATATACAATTTTCATTATAAAATTTTAGTAATGCATTTAGAAGAATGCTTAGGTATGTATTAAAACATACTTTAGATAAGTATGTAATATCTTTACTAACCATTCACGCAATATGAATGATTTTAGAAAATGTATATTTAATCCGCGATATGAGCGTTCTTTGGCTGTATTATTGAACGTTATATGAAGTTGAATAAGCGCCATTTGTTTACTCAAAGAACTAACCGTCCAATATAAAGGTTATTTATAAAAACCTGACTGCGACATAAACACGAATTCCTTTATCTACTTTACTGAGTACCCATTACTGCGAGTAACTATTAAAAACACTGTCTCTGTAAGAAGGCGCAGAGCTACGAGGTTGTATTCGCATTAATTGTAGGGCGCACCCTGCCAGTCCGTCTTCCCTCAAGGTCGAGACTTCAGTGCATAAACATCGGTATTTTAGTTGTCAGGTGGGGCAAGGCCAGTGGTAATTTTGATGAGTTGTTAAGAGTTACGATTGGGTCTGTTAACGTGAATTGTATATAGATATTCTAACTAGAAATAGCGTAGTAGTACTCTTAAAAATCTGAACTTTTCCTAGAAAATGAACGACGTGTCGTCTGTGACATCCGACAAGTTTTAGTAGTCAGGGTTTTAGTTTTTTAATTATTATGTTTCCTTCTCTTCATGTAGGTAGGGTAACACCAAGGAGTTTTGAATCAGAGGTGAGTTGAAAAATCCCCGATTTCTCGAAATGGAAAAAATATTATCAAGTTGGCATCATCGGAACCAGAAAACGAGGTTGTTTCAGCAAACCCCTCGGTTACGATGTACAGGTGTAACATTAAGAACAGTGTGTATGAAAAAATCTGAAACTAGATACACGAATATCTGTTCTAAGGAACCATGTCATCGATTGTTTGTGAAAATGAAAAACCACATTCACACATTAAAAAAAACTAGCTTTCAGATCAAGAATAGAATCCGAATGATTTGAAATATAAAAATTACATAATAAATAATATTTCATAAATTTTGCAGTCAATATGGTATATTAAAAAATATTGTTAATGAAAAAAGGCTTTAAAATCCACTTAGTACCTGGCACCCAGGATCTAACTATACTGACGAATTTTTAAAGCACAACTCACAAGGGATAAAGTGTATTTTTCATTATAAAAATAAAATTATTTTAACTTAGTACCCGATTGAGTGTCTTAACTGACCTGCAGTACTAGGATAATTTTATCATTGCTTCTTCATTATACTTTCTCTCATCGCGTATGTTTTCATTTCTTTAGACATTGAATTATAGTTCATAGTTTCATTTTATATTTTATTCTATTCTACATTTTCCTTAGAATAATTCCAATTTTTATACCCAAATTTCGGAGCATAGTTTCTAAGCCTCACTACCAAACAAAAATAAAAGTGCGCTCTTCTTATCTGCCACGTAATTCTTCATTGCACTTAACGGATTTTTAATAATTGTAATAATTTCAATACCATCAAATATTTCACAACGAACTTGTGAACTAGACATGTTATAACCAATATTGATCCTCAATAATTCAATAATTTATAGATTTCTCAAAATGACAAGCAAAATATAATTTAAAATATTTTATAGTTTGTCGATATTTTTTTTCTAACTACAATTAAAAACGGGATGATGAACTTAATTACTAACACAAAGGGTGCATTATTGTACTCACCGGCGTGATGCAGAGCCGTCTCGAAGGGCGCCCGTTGCAAACGCTCCTTAGTACCTGCCAACGGATTATATTATTAGAACAATATCACATGCCAAGAGATGGAAAGGAAACGTTTGATAAAATTATACAGAATATTCTAATCTGAATCTGAAGCAATGATTTTTGTTTTATTAAAGGCAAAGGAATACAGCCTGTACAGCCGTTTATAATTTTAGTAATGTTTTGAATATTTATTATTCCATCAATACCAAAAATTATTTATCTTCTTTGATTATTTTAAAGAATATTCTTAATCGTTTATATATAGCAATAATACCTGGGTAAAAAAATCTATTTAGTTTTGCCAGATAACAGAAAAATATTAATTACATATTTTTTGCTCCATTCAATTAGTAATTGCTCAGATAATAGGCATTGAATAGCATTGAAGTTGAGGAGTGGGGATGCGCTACGTCACAACTATGTAGAATATACAAAAGGGGTGACATTATGCGACATTTCAACTCAATGTATCGCCGTACTTAAATGATTACGAAAAAAATTAAAAATACATACTTGATATTCATTATTTATGTACCTAACTTACAGGCAAACAGGCAACAACAAAGTTGTTGCTAATAAAGTATTTAGTAGCTTAATATTAGTTACTTTTTAAATCCAAGCCAAAAGTCAGAGAAAATATCAGTAAACTCATAAACACTAATGCCTTCAAACATTACAAATTTCACTATGTAGGAGTTACTTGTCATTGGCAGAGACGTTTAAAATAGAACGCCTAGAAAATGAAAGGTTATGGTCACACGCACACACATGCGCACACGCACGGTATAACGCGTGGCGTGACATAACGTAAGCTTTGAGAAAAATCATCATTCTTCCATTTAATGACGAATAGAACATAGATTTTTTAAAATAAACCAAGATGTTTGAATCTAAACCAAAATTGATATAAAATTGAGAGTAGACTTTGTTCATACGTACATAAATTATTAATTAGCTTTTATTACCATATTTTACTAATCTTGGAAAGCTTGAAAAAGTTTTAAGCAAGTACAATATTTATTTTATAAGCACTAAAAACTCATCAGATACATACATTTTAACGAGAACTCCTTCGTATTTATCATTTGGATCATAAACTAATTATCATAAACTAACTACGGATCATAAGCAAAGTAACTAAAAATAAAATAAAAATAAAATAAAAAATAAAACCAGCTTATAAGTAACTATTTACCACCACCATTACCACCCAGACAATATACAACAAGAAAACAGTCAACAGAAAACTAATTTTATCAAAGAACTAATAAGAAGACAGAATTGCAAGTTTCAGAAAGAAACGAAGCTTTTAGAAGAAGCCACCACCAAACATTATATTATCAATATTTTTTTATATAGGATCAATAATAAATAACATATTATAAATAAATACTGATCTAAATCTAAAAATTAAAATAATACCTTTCCATATAAATATCAAGATAGTTATTGTTACTATTAAATAAATAAATATCAATGTCAAACCATATACCTAAATAAAAACAATACAATAGTTATGTGTAAGTATAAAAAAACAAGTTAATAATTTTCTTATCAAATAAGTCACTAGTAGATTCCTTGATATATTCTTACTTAGGTCCATGCCTAGGTGAACCAGTCCTATTTAGGATCAAAGCCATGCCATATACTAAGATACACTATAGACTTAAAAAAAAATATTTCAAACGTTGCTATTTCATTCGATAATCAAAATTTTCCTTGTTCTTAACAACTCATAATATTTGTTACCTACGGAAGCAAAGTAAAGATTTGCGTATATATAAATTTTATTGGTAAAAGATTAAAAGTAATATGGTATCCTGCCATTACAATTTGATGGCGTTCCTTTTGGAAATCCATTGGTAAAATCTAAACATTTATATTTGGAAAACTGAATGTTTTTGATATCTATTGCTAATTTACGGTATTGACTTTTAAGTTATTAGTTACTTAGAATAACTTTATAATGTACATGGTTGTTCATCAGCTTATGCAAGAAATAATTAATTCTTTTATTTTTCATATCGTGCAAAACATTATTCAATAAAGAAATCAAGAACACGAGAATTGTTTTATTAATAATGAAAAGTAACAATGGGAAATTTGTTTGTAGCTTTAATGAACAATATTCAATTTCTAAAATGCCGTCTTAATGAAAAAGATATAAGGTGTGTATAAAAAAGATGGCATACTTAATTTAAAAATGATTTACGTATTCATTTTCAAGAATTTTACTGAATTCATACTTCAAACAAAGCGACAATAACAGTTAGTTGCTAATCCAGCTTTGAAGATTCTAATTAAAGATTAAAGTCAGTCAACATCAAGGCAATTTGAAGAATTATATTTAATTGTTAGAGGTCAGCAGCAAACAGCACAGAAGACGTCTGAAATGAAGCAATAAGGAAGAGAATAAACCCATCACCACAACTTTGTACCAACACCAATCAACTTTAATTGTAACATACCCTTACTAGATACCGACAAAAAACCGGTTTTCTCCGCCTCATACTGCTTCAGATTGGTTCCAACGAGACCTTTAAAAGAAAAACATTCGATTCAATTGAAAGTAATGTACAATGATCGTCGTTATAATTTATTACATCTTAAGTTGCTGTTTATAAATTGCTTAGACATGATATAAATATACGTTTATTTATCGATGTTTTTGCAAATCGAAGAATATGTGAAAAACCAATATAAAAAGGTAACTTATAATTACTAGTGTATATGCAATATTTTCGTTATTATTAACTTGTTTAAAACATCGCCGGTAAAATGATTTGTTCCTTTCTTCCTTCATTATAAAAAGCCTGATGTACGTCATAGTTGGTATCGCGATCAAACATCTATCCCCTTATCACAGTAATAACGTATACACTCCACTAGATTACAGCACAGGTACTGACTAGTCTGATAGCTTCACGAGGCGACGGTCCTGGATAATTACTGATCAAAGCTTCAAGCGATTTCCAACGACTACTCGAAATTGCATCTAATACAGTTCGACAGTGTATGAATAACGTAGTAGCATCTGAGCATAACTGATGTTTTTGAAATACTGCAAGCTAAATGAACCTACCGGAATACGTATGCGTTTACAAACGTATAGATGTTAATTAATAACACCCATTTTACCTTCGTATCTTATAACAAGTTTTAAGTTTCTCTCATCAACTCATGATCAACATTCCTCTCAATTTCCTTAATATATATATATTCACTCTTTAGCATAACAGTTAATAAGATTATGGAATTCTAACAGACGGGCAAAATCCTTAAGACTCTTAAATCAAGTCTACTCGAAGAATCAGTTTTGTTCAGTTTTCAATTTCATTTTTCCTACTTCTCGTGGCTTATGTAGGTATATATCGTACAACACGTATATGGACATAATTGCTATTAATGTTTACGCTGTTACTGTTCTTCTTTTTTCTTTGATTATTTTAACTTGTTATTTCTTTAGGTAACACTACTTTTATATGGTAAAACCAACCATTAACGTGTATTTTTGAAAAATTATTTAATTTTTCAGAAGTTTCGGATTCTATACAAGTTTTGTGTTCACTAGACTAATATATTGATATTTTTATCAGTTTTTCTACATTATTTTATGGAAATATTCATAAATAAATTAACACTAAACCTGTCCCTTACTTCGAAAGCAATTTCTGGAATTGCCTTATACTCTCATTTTATTATGTTGATGGTGAATTACTCAAGTGCTTGTTTCTTCCGTTGCTCATGCATTCCACTAATACTACCTAATAAGGGGAAAGATTTATTTTTCGAGCTATCTGTGGTCCAAATTCTTAGAGCAATCCTATTATAATACTATAAATGTGAAAGTTTCTTTGTTTGGATGTTTGTCGGTCAATCACGCCGAAACTACTGAACGGATTTTGATGAAATTTGGTATACAGATAGGGTGTTAGTCTACTTAGATAATAGAATACTTTTTATCCCATTTAACATTTCCCTAGGGTCCACGTGGGCGAAGTCGCTGGCGAAAGCTAGTAATTACTAATATAGTATTGATTTCGAACCAAGTGCTATCAAATCCTAAAAACGCTGTAATTTAAAATTAAAAAAGAACATCATGTGTCTAAGAAGGTTGCAACTGGTACAAGAGTCGTTTTTCTGGACAAAAGAGTTCGGCCGCGTAAATTTGCAAATGTCACCGGCGTATGGTGAATTCCCGTTTAGATGAAAGAATTTTCGATCAATCCTTTTTTTCTGATAGCTAAGGAATCAAATGGAGCTTTTTGGAATATTAGGTAAATTGAAATTAATACAATAAAATATCAATATCGCTTCGTGAATGTAAATGTCATCGATAATATTATTTAAAAGTTGTTCAGTGTTTATTATTGATTACCTTTAATTGTTATCATTGAGGCACGGTCAGTAAACGAACAGCTATCTCAAATGTAATGTCACAGCATCCCGAATGATCAACTTCGGCCAGCTGAGAGCTTCATGATTTGTTTTATTTATCTGAGACTATTTACCTATTAAATATTCAATAACAATTAAAACAAAAACAATGATAATTAAAGACAAAGACTTGGATATAGTACAAGTATATGCTAATTGTAGAAATTGAGTAATTTTATGATTATCACTTGGAATGTAAATTGGGTAATTCAATGTATAGAACAGTCGCTCGGATAGTAAAAATTTTATGGGTTTGAATACCATCTCGGCATATCTGGGAGTGGTGAATTTTTTAAACATTTTACTTTATGTGAAATATTTATATAAAATTGGTGAAATATATATAATAATTAACTGATTTTGTTTTTGAATATTCTTATCGTAGAATAAAAATACAATTAATTATTATCCTTTATTAATATTATTATTATACTTAATTAGATATCGATACCTTTTGTGAAGTCTACCCCAAAGTTCTAGACTTCACAGAGAGTACCGATTTAAAATATTGTGTTATCATATACTTCTTATAAGTTGTTATGCAGTTTACAGCTAAAGAATTATTTTGTGTATTTAAAATAAGTCATTACATTTGATATTTTTAAAGATATTTTCTTCTAAACATCCCCCCAAAAGCTGTCTCTATGTTAAAACTTTATTTTCGATAACCGGCCACTTAACCTTTATGGATCACTGACTTCTATATTAATACCATATTTCATATCAATCGTAGTAGCAGTAGTTTGAGATTGATCATTTATTTACTCTAGTAATTACTGATTTATTATCTAAAACTACTGATTAAAAAGGATAGACAGACAATCGGATCCTACAATGGTTCACTTGCTTCCTTTAAAGGTATAAAAATAAAAAAAATCAATCTAAATCAGTAGGTATAAAAGTAAAATGAATATTTTGCTAGCAACTATATTTCCGTTGCAAAAACAAAATGGCGTACGATAAATATTGACACAAACCCGTTGTAGTTCATGTAAACATTAAATGAGTATAACATTATTACCGCGGCCGGACTTACGCGCCGTTGTGCGTGGCATTTTGGCAAACCAACGATGGTGATCGGTATTTATAGAAACTGTTTGACCATTGTCAAACTACATGTTATTATGTAAGTGATGTTAAGATGACACACAGATATTACTATCTTTTTTAAATTCGGAAGCATACCATGCATTGTCTTAATAGCCTTCACTTTGTCTACACTGACCAGAGGTTGGGCATACAATATGGATGTTCTATCATTCATTGATAATGTTCCTTCTAAAATACATTACCTTCTTACATAAACTTTTAAACTTTCGCGTTGCATTATATTAAATTGTTTATAGGTAGGTGAAGAACCTAATCATCGAAATCTATCGCGTTAATGCCCGTCTTATGCATTTATTCTTCTTGTCAGTCGATAGACTTCCTGATCGCCCGTTTAAGTAGGGAACAAAATGAATCAAAAGTGCTTTCATTAAACTAATTTCCATCTATGCTGAATTATAAAGAGATTAAGTTTCTACCTTTGTTTGTTTGTAGGTGGTAATCCTAGGAAATACGGGAATCTGCGTCATACACGAGTGACATAAGTTATAATATCGGTGGGCGAAGTCGCAGTAAAATAGCTACGTAAGGATATCAAAAGTCTCCCAAATAAATGCACAATATTGAAGTCTTAATTATTTGTATTATATTAGCTTAGTGGCGTCTTGATTAATATGTTTATTGTTATAAAATCTAATAAATAAAAAAAAACTTTGTTAAATAATTATTTTAATGAAACGTTATTATAGCATTAATATTAACAGAACTGTATGGTCGAGGGGGCAAAAAAACTTTCGTCAAGCTGAAGTTGAATGAGATATTTAGCTTCATTTTGCTCTATGAGTAGGCTAGAAACTTTGTTACTATTTGAATTGTTTAGTGACAAAGATCAGAGCACCATTGCATTGATGGTATGCACTGAAATTTAGTAAGTATTGTTGTAAAAGCAACAGTTTCATTTTCTATAAATAAACCTTGGAAAATAATTACATTATTAACAAGCATCATAATAAGTAAAATTCCTTATAGTATCGGCTATTACAGTTTAACTGATTCACAAGACCACAATAGTATCACAATATTTTCTACTGATATTAATAGGATAACCAAAACATCAAATGTAACTCGACATTGTTCCATATTGTGTACAGTGCAGTTTTGAAAACATAAACTACAGCTATTACTAAAAAACATATACCAATCATATAACATTGTAAAAAAAAACCTCTGTGAAACAAAATGAAACACGAATTTATATTCAACAGAGTTTTATTAATGCATTATTATTAATGTACAGAGTTTTATTATTGTACAACGAAACATTATTTACGCTGCACCGTTTGTGATGATACGATAGCGTGTCATTTTCAATTACATTTAATAGCCGAATCCCATTCAAATACAGGGCACATATATCCAGATTAAGCCAGTATTATACTTCATTCATGTCATAGGAAAAGTACCCTGATACTAAAGGAGACGAAAGTTCTGGCACCGCCCGAGTAGCGAGCCGTTCAGTTAAAATTAACCGAGTACATTGCACTATGACCGTGGGCACCTGAATAGTTCTTCCCATTCTTACTGACCGATGTATATTCTACACTTGACATTTGCCGGTAGAGCGTGTCGTTTATCAATAACACGCAATGCAAAAAAACGCGGCGAGCGAGTTTTATTTACTTGACTTATTTGATTGAAATTAAAGAATTTTATTATTTTACTGTTATTAAAAAAAACACATGTTCATAAAATCATATGGATAACAAACAATTGCCGTTATACCTAATCCAAATCCAAATTGGTGTACAAACAAGATTGCATATTACTTCATCTATGTATAAACAACCGTAGCAAAAATATATGAAAGATTATTAAAATATCTAGATACATGTGCTTAAATATTATAATTATTATCTATTAATGATTTTACGACATGGAATCAGAAAAACAATATTGATTCACATATAATACCGTAATATTGATAATGTTAAATAGATATTTATGATGTTTTTTACGATATCCACAGTGACAATACAGATACCTACTCGATCTA